ACTCTTTCATGCTTCCAAGGGGACATGAAAGTCCCAGGCTTTCCCCTCCTGCCCAGTTACCTTCTTAGAAAGAGAATCCAAGGAAGAGAAGGCTGTCTCAGGAGCAAACTTTTGTTCTTAAGATGATACTAGGGGCTGGGAATTTAGCTCAGTGGTGTCACACCTGCTTTGCAAGCACAAGGTCCTGAGTTTGATCCCTGGTACAAAACAACAAACAAAAACTAGGTGTTTCCTAAAGAGATTGTATAATTTTATTAGCTGTTCCTAAAGGGACTGTCTAATCATTAAATCTTAATGATTGTTAAAACTGGGTTGGATATTTTGTTAATTTTTCCCACTAACCTCCTTAGGAGGTTACTCTAGGAAAACTTGATTAATTATAGAACACACAAGAAGAATTGTATTTTTCCTGCACATAGCCACAGAAGACTAATTTTTGATCCCAGTGCACTTCTATTTGCAATATGAAACTATCCTCATAGGTCCCGTGCTCCCTTGCCATTTATCCAGTCTCATTAATTGTCAGAGGTCGTACTTAATAGATGACAGTCACAATGAGTGATGAATACAATTTTGTCTGTTTATAGCAGCACTTTTACTGTCTCGTGTTAGTTCCTTAAGCCAATGCTTGGGAAAAGTACAGAATGCCCAGGGCTACTGTCCAGTCTGAGACTAATATGTGCAATTCCAGACCTAAGGTCTTCGGAGTCCAGACTGTCATCTGGTGCAGCGTCATGGAGATGATTCCTGATCTTGGTGTGGTTAGATTTTTGTGCTGAATTGTAGACTTAAATGAGAAACGGATCCACAAATACTGGGAAGAGTAGGGAAGGAGGAAGACATAAACCTAAAGTCCCCTATAATATGTTGCTGTCTATAATCACTGCCACTACTAACTTTATAGTAGTCCCAGGCCAAAACTTGTCAGAGCTCAGTTTTTTTTTTTAATGCTCTATAAAAGCTATTAAAGAAATGCCTGTGTGATCTACGGATCTCTCTGGCTAATATTTAGAGGTTGTGTGGATGAAGACAGAAAGAATATTGGAAACAAACTTGGTAGATGGGTTTATAGGCCAGCCAATTGTCTGACAAAACAACTTTAGCCCATATAATTTTACTGACCACGATTTTCTGCATAAATGATGATTTGAGCTAGCTTTCCATCACTGAGACATAGTATCTGACAGCCTACACCCTGAAGGAAGAGAGGTTGAATTTGGCTCACCGTTTTGGGAGCTCACGTCTTAGGGGAACTGGCTGCAGAAACAAGATGGCGGAAGGGCGTGGTGGGGAAAAGCTGCTTAGTTCAGGGTGGCCGGAAGCAGAGCGGAGGAACCGAGCCTGAGAGGAAGGCGGCAGGGACGGGATGTGGACCTCCAGGTGATGCCTCTGCTACTCACTTGGACACACGGAAGTGTGCTTTCCCCAAACCAGTTGAGTTGACACACTAAGCTTAACCACAGTTTCCCAAAGATGTTTATACAGATTTCATTTTTCCATATTTCCTCCCGTCTTTCCACCTCCCCATGAGACTCAGAGAGAAGGTCGTCCCAGAATAAAGCTCTGTAAGATTTACTTTGAACTAATTCTGGTGGGTGTATTTTCTGGGCGGGTATTTTCTTTTCTACTTGTGAAAATCATAGTAGTTTTTTTAGTGTACAGGTGCATGTTTGTGATACATAATAATTACAATTATCTGGGAAACTGGTACATGTACTATCTCATCTTTCCCTCCTGGCCGTCCTCTCTCCCCTGGTCTCCAGATCCCTTTACCATTTCTACAGTCTTGAGACCATCATAATGGTAAGTAAAATAAATCAAACAGAAATATATTTTAAAGAAAAAAATAAAAGATAATAGGAAACAGGGAGGTCGACTTTAGGCAGGTTCCCCCCACTATTCAATTAGGGCTTGTCAGAAAGCAGCTAAATATTCAGGCACTGGTTTGAAATCAATAAGGCATATTTTAAAATAACATCTGACTGAGGAAACAATGAATTATGGAATTTGATTTTAAATGACTCCCCTTATTGCAACATATTTTAAAAGCTTCACATTAGGAGAAAATAGGGTAGGGGTTGATTTTAAACAGCAATATATAGCCATCATTAAAATAACAGCAAAGAAGAAAGGTTTCCATTGTTATTTAGGCCAATTTCTCAGTGCTCTTATCATTAATTAATATGCACCTGTCTTAATTCTGTAACTTTGTAACAGTGAACCACTTCCACTGGTTTCAATACCCCACTGTGAAAGCAACAACCCAGGGAGATGGATCGTTTTTCCTGGTCTCAACCAGGATGTCTTAGTCAAGAGGCTTTGAGCTTTCAGAAACATGTCCTAAGCAGAATTCTAAAGATTCTTCCTCCCACCCCACCCAGAGTCCTGTTTTTTATTTATTCAACCAACTGCTAGTTTTGGTACAAGTGTGAAGGGACATTGTGGTTGTAATTATGTTTTCTAACCAATCCACGTCAAATACAAGGACTTTCCCAGGATTATCCAGATGGTCCCAGTACAAACTCAAGAGCCCTTAAATCGCACAAAGCCCAGTGTGAGAGAGGAGTAAAAGAGGAGATCTGAGGTTTGAGGCCCGAGAAAGACTCGATCTGCCATAGTTGGATTTGAAAAAAGGCAGGGGCTATGAACTAAGGAATGGGAGTGGTTGCTAGAAGCTAAGTATGGAGCAAGAAGACAAAGGTCTCGTGCACGGGCTTGGAGTTTAACTCGGCCAACAGTGTGAATGAGGCTGGAGCAGGTTCATCTTCAGGGTCTTCAAAAGGGAGCACAGCCCTGCTAATCCCTGGCTTTCAGCTTTTGGAGATCTGGAGCCAAAGAATGACCTGAGCCATTCTGTGCCTGGACTTCTGACCCACAGTGACTGGGAGATAATGCTTTTAAAAAATTAGACTCTGTATTTTTCAGAGCAGTTGTAGATTCCCAGTGGGAGGCACAGAGATTTCCCACGTACCCACCACCCCCGTGTATGCAGTCTCTTCCATTGTCAATGTCCCCACCCGAGGACCAGAGCTGTTGCTGACGATCCTGTCTCAGCACATATTTATTACTTGGAGCCCGTAGTTAACATTAGGGTTCACTCCGCCTGGTGGCGTATACTCTATGGGCTTGGGCAAGTATAGAATGGTGTGTATCCACTGTTATAGTATCAAGCAAGTAGATTCAGTATCCTGGGTGTTATTTTAAGCAGCTAAGCTTGTGATAATTTGCCATAACAGCAATAGAAAACTAATGTAAAACTCAACCAAAATTAGCTAGAAACGAGGGTTTGAGTTTGATTGATTCTTCAGTACAATGATGTCAAGAATGGAGACTGGCTTTCTTCTCAGCCTTCTGTGCTGTGTGCTTCATCCTAGGTCTCATTAAAAAAAAAATGGCTCTAGCAGATCCGGGAATTGCATCAAATGTCATAATTATGTAGCTAAAGAAGAGGTAATTTCTTTTTTGGCTTCTTTTTTATGAGTGAAGACACTCAAATGACTGCTCTTTTGTGTCTGAGTTTCTTCTTGTTCTTCAATTCCTCAATATTTACCTTTTCCTTCTTCCTCAAAAAATAACCCCCATCCAAAAGGCTTAGTTGGACAAATAATTTTAATGAAGATTTTATTCTGGGCCGGGGATTTAGCTCAGTGGTGCTGCTGCCTGATTTGCAAACACAAGGTCCCGAGTTCAATCACCAGTAATAAAAGAAAAAAAAAATTTGTTTTAATTGATTTAAAAATCACGCCTAGGCATAGCCATGTGCTTGAATTCTAACTCCTAGATATAAGAAGAGTTGGGAGTAACTTTAAAGAAAGGGGCACATTCTTCTTCATCTTTTCACCCTGTTTTCTGAGTGGCTGGAAAATAAATCTCATGGTAAGATCTTCACTGATGATCTTGAGAACATTACTTCTATTCTCATTGTATGGTCAGGTTGGACCCTCATCAACTAGGGATTGAAATGTCAGTGTAATGTCTCCTAATTTGGGTTTGTCCAGACGCTGCATCGGTGACAAGGACTTAAATGGTGAGCACACGTTATTTTGGAAATACAGGAACCAGCTTTAGGGAAGAAGGGCAAGTAGGACAAGGATGGAAAGGAAGTGATAAAGGGGCTGTTATCAAGCCAATTGCCACAGAATGCACCAGACCTAAAAGAAGTACAGAATCCCTGCCAGGAAGTGATCCCACCCACTCTCGCTCTCAGTAACAGGGGGTTAGAGGCACCATAGCTATTTTCAACTCCTGGGACTCAAGGCACTTAGGGGAGAGAAGCCTTAGGTAGAGAGATGCAAACACCTGCCCCAAAATGCCAAGGCCTGTGCAATACGAGTAAGGACTTTAATAGTCTAACAGCTCCTGCCACGTGGTCACTACTCCAAGGGGATTAACTTCAGGTTAACCCATTACCCACTACCACTTGCTTTTGTGTATATCAGTAAAATCAGAAAGCCAGGAGTGTGTAGATGGATTATATGCTATGTTGGAAAACCGTTTAGAGACGTATGCCATTTTTACATTGAAAAGCACCTTCGAGGGTAGCTAGGTTGTTTCTCTTCGTTCATGAAAACCTGCAGTGCCAAGAGCTTCCAATAGCCAGTTGCAAGTCCAAGGCGCAAGCCTCTGTCCTCTGACTTTGCATAGCACAGAACTGGGATCATCGAGGGATGACACTTTTGTTTCTCCCTAATTTCCAGTTAACTCAGTCCTCTCTTCTTTGATAGGGACAACTGATTTTTGAAAGAAATCACACAAATAGTTTCATGTCTACTTCTGGCCTGGTGAACACTCCTATGTTCCCCTGCATAGAAATTCCTGAGCTTGGCCTAGGGGTCTATAATATTTTTGCCACTTTGATTTAGAGACAATCTGAAGTGGCTTAGGTTAAATAGAATAAACAGGAATAGCTCCTCCGAAGTTCCTGAAACATTAAACTGTATTTGAGAACTTTACTGAGAGAATTTTTGTGGAAGAAAAAGCCAGGAACTAGTTCACACCTGACAAATAATTTATTTTAAGTTGATTATATAGTTAGCAGCCATCTCAAAACGAGGACTTGTGATGACTCATTCTTAGTGCAGAAAGGTTCAAAATGTCTCATTCCACGGAGGCAGGATTTTCTTCACTGTGAAAATGGAACGAGCCTGGTAGCTCTTGGTTTTGGTTACGAAGTGATGATAATGTCTCTCTTTTGGACGAGCTTTGCACATCAAGAATGCTGCTTATTCTGGTCTAAAAACTGGTCCTCTGGAGGTGGGTCAGGTGGATAGATAGTACTATCCCCATTTCAGAGGCTGAAAGATGCAATGAGAGCCTGAAGGCTCTTCCCGATGATGGAGCTGGGATGGCAGCCAGGGCTCCTCTGACAACAGGCTCCTTAAGTGCCATTTAAGCTGGCCTTCAACTCAGTTCTAGAAGTGTTGTTTCTGTGCCTGCACTGATGTCCTTGTTCTCATTGGGTGGAAACTGTGGTTCTACCCAAGATGGTCCTGTTGCTCACCTAGGGCAAGGGCATGGATCAGTTTATCTTTTGAGGCTTCTTTCAGTTACTTTTTGTCTATGCATATGTTTTAAAATTGAAGAAGCCTTGGACTCTGGAATCCCTTGGACCTGGGTTTGATTGTCGAATCTGCTTATTATACAAGGGACCTTGCAAGTCACGTCGCACTTGCCTTCTTTATCTGTACAACCAGGTTGCCGGGAGAGTTACCTGTGGGAATGATGCACATAATCACACTTGAGCATTCTGTGTCCACACTATGACAAATCCTATCTGTTCTATCTAAAATATGGATCTAGAGTAAAACCATATTCACTACTTCTGCCCACTACCTAGGAGGACCCATTGTTGTCCCTCGTGTAGATAGGATGACTTCTGTCTAAACTCTGCTCCTACGTCATTTAAATTTTAATTATAAATACTGACATATTAATTGTGCGGACTAAAGGGTTTCCCATGACATCTCCATATATGCATGTATCAAGCTTCGGCTATGCCCCCTTTCTCATATCCCTTACTCTTTACTCCTCCTTCTCACTGTCCCTTCACCCTCTTTTTCTCTCCTCTTCCTGGTTCCCCCTTCTGCACCTTAATGGCCTGTCTTCTATGAGAGACTTTCAGGTGATCTGTGTTTGCTGTGTGTGTGTGTGTGTGTGTGTGTGTGTGTGTGTGTGTGTGTGTGTGTGTTTGTCTATATCTGT